GTTTTGTGAGTGGGTGCAGGAGAAAACCAGTGTAACGAATCTCTTACAAAGATGAATATGTGGAGATCAAATTTTGGCAGATTTGATTGACGTTGAATGCTATCCCAAAAGAGGGGAGCGGCAAATGCAAATCAATGTTATGCAACAAATCACATTTAATTCCTAACCCTCTTTTACTTTAGTATAAACTGTAAACTTAAACAAGATCAGTCAAACCGGGGGATATTTTGTTTGCCTAATGATACGACAATTCTGTAGCTATATTTTCTAAAGAGGCTTTTTTATTCATGAGGTGACGTTCTAATTTCAATTTTTTTAATCAGGTGACATATATTAGTTTATTTTTAATAAAAAAATATTAAAAATAGCCGTCTTATAATTTTTAAACATAGAAAGCATTATTTATTTAAAATAAAATGTGAAGTTGTTTAGAATGATGTGTGTGAATGGTTAAAAAATTGACTCATTATTTGAATGTTATATCATTGAGCTTAAAGGAAAACGTTTAACAATGTTATCAATTATCTTTAAATCGTTTTTCAAAGAAACTGTGGTGACGACTTATTCATTAAAATTGAAGTAAAGAGTTAAAACTCCCAACAATGAGGTGCCTTTGTCGGTTGACCAATCCATCATTCCCATATAATATTGCATGTCAATTACCCAAACCGGGAATATTCATATTCGCAGTTTAATACTTGTTAGCCAAGGTCCTAATCATTTAGTTCTTTAATGGGAGCATGCCACTCCTGTGGAGGTCCACATATCTGTCATGGAATTGATATAATAATCCATCTGTCGATGCTGGTCTTGTTGTTTGTGGCTCTGACAACAGACTTGTGAATTTCTGATTCTTTGTTTATGGTTTCTTGTTTAATGCACGACCTTTGTCATCCAATGACAGACTCAGGGACGGCGGCCGTCGCCAAAAATTTTAGTATATTTATATATATTTTTAATTGTTATGAGAAATAGAATATTTATGAGGTTGCGACCTTTTCAAAATTTCTAAAATTATTTATTTATTTTATATTTTTAAAATAATTTTTATTTTAATAATTTATATAAATAAAAAAATAAAATAATTTGACAAATTTTATTCAATTTATTCTTAATTCTTAATTAAATTTTTTCACACCTCTTCCTGTCTCTTTCTTTTTCTCTTTCTCTTCTTTTCATTTTATTATTTTTATTTTATTTTATTTTATGTAACTCATCATTGAAGCACATTTCATTTTTTTTGAAAAAATTTATAAGTTTAGATAATGACCACTTACCATTATTATATAAAACTAAAAAAAGGTAAAATATTTTTTTATTTTCGTCTTTTTATTTATATTATTTAACTGCTATTTGAAATCTTATATTTATATATTATAATTTTATATTTAATATTTTAAGTGTTTTTTTTTATAATTGGAGGAAGAGAAATTCGAATCATACTCTTTAGGTAAGAGATAATACACCAACCAATTAGTAAAATGCTCGGGTGCTATTTAGTATTTTAAGTTTAAATATAAATAAAATAAAAATATTAAATGTTGATTGCATTCATTTTTTAAAAGTTTTATTAAAGTATGAATAAGTTAAAAACAATGAACAAATTCTTTAAACAAAAATATGTAAATCATCAAAATAATTTCCTTACACTTGAGCCACCAAGCTTAACGAAAATTGTCAAAGACAGATTTCAAAACCGAATAGGTGATAAGTTTCTTATAAATAATTTAGTTATTTATATTGAAAAAGATATTACTAACCTTTTTAGTGTAAAGTCAATAATAAATGAATTTGAATTTATGAAATATCGTCCAATACAAGTTTCTTAGAAAACTATTGTAAGAATTTTCTTTTTGTTCTTTTTAATTTACATGTTATATAAAATTATCTGTTATGAATCGTGTGTTTGTTGGTTAAATTTAAACGTATTAGTTTTAAAAAGTTTTAGTCTTCATTCTTTTTTTTCTTTGATCCTTTTAACAAAAATAAGCTAGCTTCAACCCTGGGCAGACTATTTTTACAATATGCATTTTGGCAACACAAGGAATTTGGCTTGATGTTGAAGTAGCCGGAGCAGGCTTTGCTTCTTCTTCACTATTATTTTATATTACATTCTTAATTCTATTTACTATAGCTTACACTATTTATCACAACTGCAAAAGCAAGAACATTTGTGCTAAGCTCATAATCTAGCTTTCAGGGTACATGAAAAGAGCTAGTGAGGATTGCCCTTGATGTTGCAAAGTGGATCAATTCAAGGATCATTGAAAGGGTCCTTGATTGGAAGCTCTCCATCTTGGCCCCTCATCCGGCGAAGTTTGAATGAAGACGATTGTTGAGAGATTGCATGAACCGGCTTGTCTGTTTCCCGAATCCGACTGTAAGACCATGCCCCCATCAAGGTTCCTGTCACTGGGCCAACCACGTACACCCAAATTGCCTTGTAGTGAGCACTAGCAAGTGCTGGTCCTATGGTCCTTGCTGGGTTCATTGATCCACCTGATATTGGTCTGAAGATGCCTAGACAACTTGTTAGTATTACATGGCTTTTGTTTATGTACTTATGCTTTTCATTCTTTATGTTGTGTCATCCACCGTAGAATCCATACCAAGAGAATCTTAAGGAAACAATTTAGACATAGTGAATTGGCATGTCCATTGTAAGGTTACACGACTTTTCTTAAAGATGACTATAACCTCACTAGTGGTCTGATTGGTGGCATGGCCATATTGTACAAGAATTGGCATACAATCTCAACCGAGAAAAAGCAAAATGAGAAACCGGACTCGTAAATGAAGAGTCCCCAAGTTGCTTACCCTGCCAAGATGGAAGTGATGCAGACCGCAGAACCAACAGCTATGCCTGCTAGCTCTCCTACCTGTCAACAAGGAAACATGAAAACATCAAGGGCTCAATTGTACCTAAAAATAAATAAATAAATATGACCAAATTGAATAAACTTTGGCAAGAACATGCCATATGCGACTTTACTTTAAAATGAAAAGTGTTTATTATGACAAATATTTATTATAGTGTATATCTCATTTCATGTGATGGAGGATCAATTGTGACAGTGAAATTGATTGCTACCGCTTTAGTATCAGTTGCTACAGCTGAAGTGACAAACATCATCGAAAATGTGACGACTATTTCCATGACCAGAGCTTGAACATCCGATCCTGAAGGTGATGTTGTGCCAAGATTTTTTATCGGATGCAGTAATACCCTAAGTGTGAACGCTGCAGAAATTGCTCCCGTGAGTTGAGCTGCACCATAAAATGGGACCTGCAATAAATTATACCCCGCCAAAGGTTTTATGTAATCTATCTGTGTTTGCTCCTGAAATAATAATTAGTGCAATTTGAGTATAATTATTGCTACTATCCACACAATTAATTAGATATTGATCTCCAATAACAAGCATGCTGCATTTAAAAATTCTGTTTTTTTGGAACGAAAACAAAAAAAGGCTTGGGATTATTAAGTGATCAAACAATACGCATTCATCCATGCATTTATTCATTTTGTTCTATTTTTCATTTGTTGTGCTACTCAGTAGATAATCATTTATAGTTCCAAGTCCAACCACTTTTATATAATATTTCGAAAATGAAATATATATGAATTAAAAAATAAGCTCCAAAATCTTTGCTTTTGTATATGGAAATCTACCAATGAGGGTGTTGGTTGGTTGGGCACTCTATTTTTAGTGAATAAAAAAAATAAACCTTCAATAATTTTTTTGGCCAATGAATGATCCCATTCTTTGGTAGGTATAGTATGTGCTAATTGTGGCTAAGGGGAGCTCAGGTTCAAAACCATTGAATCTCGTTGATTCCCGTGGTCCTAGTGAACCCTAGGCTCGACCCCACCTTAGTGTTTGCCATGTGCCCCTAGCAATCCAATTGTCTATCGATGAAACCTGGCTAACCACCTTGCTAAAAGAATTTGAGGTCATCACAGAAACTACACAACAGAGAAAAAATAAACTGAAGAGATCATTGGAGATTTTATTATTTTGTTTGTTTGTTTAATATTATTTATTTTCATTGTTTACTAAGCGAAAGCACATATACCTGTTTCCATGGAAAACGTCTGACAGCTGCGAATGCCACAGTAACAGCTGGGTTCATGTGTGCACCAGAGACATGCCCAACTGCATAGATCATTACAGTTATTATAAGCCCACCTGCAATGGAAGCTCCAAGCCTTGAGATTTTGTTCTCGTCATTGGAACTCACAGCAGCTGATCCACACGTCACAAACACCAGCAAGTAGGTTGCAATGATCTCTGCAAAAACCTTTTACATGTACATGAATTAGTTATATCAGTCAAATGGTATTTACAAAAGGGAAGGGTACACATATATAGTTTTATATAAGCAAGATGTTTTATATGTTTTGAGATGGTGGAGGCTGAGCCTTGAAACACTGTTATACCTTTCTTGGAAAATCAGGAGGGTAGTGTCGTTGAAATGAATTGCGAACTATGTCTGGCCTTTGGGGTGTTGGAGATTGATCCACTGGGACTATCTCATTTCCATGATCAGTCGTAGCCATTGTGGATGGACTGAGCTGAGAAAATGAAAGATGAAGGGAGAGAATGAGAATACAAGGGAATACTAATTATCTCAACGCGCAAATGGCATCATCTCTCTAGTCCTTTTATAATGGTCCAGCCTGTTAGGCTAAAAGCGTCAATATTTATGTTATATTAAAGTAAGCATTAGATACCTACTGTCCATGGTTCTATTATTGGCTAAGGGTCCATATCTATACGTATGTATATATATATATATATAATTTCTACATCATGATCAATAAAAATCATGCTATATATATATATATATATATATATATCCTACAGCACATCCAAGCCTGATTTCCAGCATACACATGTTTCGCTTTCAATTTTATATCTTATGATTTATATTGCAATGTGGTGTTGTAGTTACGATGCAGAAGTTAGATACGATGTGCAGGCAAGGATCTCTTTTAGCTTTCTGCCGATTCTCCCAGTCACAGACAGGTTGACAGTGAAGATATTTATGAAGAGTAATATAGACATGCTTTGTAACAAAAGTTGGGGCAACTCATGGCTTGTTTTTCATTCTAGTAAATATGACACCAATTTATAATTGACAATTTATGTTTGCTAATAATTTAAGGAAAAAAAAAAAAAGAAACTCATTTTTAGGTTTAGAATAGGGCCCAAGAGAGTCTGTGGAGAGTCGCTGATCCATTGGTTGGATTTGGGCCTAACTAAACGAACCTTGGGCGCATCAAGTTTAGAATTGGGATTGTGTTTGCAAATATATAATGCAGTGAATTATTAGAAGTTGGAACATTTTAATATTTCTTTATTTATAATTTTTTGGAACATTTTAGTATATTTTCATTTATATTTATTCACACATTTTAATGTTATTACATTAACATTTTAATATTATTATATGAAGCTTATGGTACTGGTCAATTCAGACTTAAACCTCATTTAAAACGTCAGGTGCAGCACCTACCCTTCCTTGTGTGGCTCATATCTTCGTACCACGTCTTGGACAAGGGGTGGGTGCTTATTTTTGCATGAACAATTTTTTTTTAAAAGAATAAATTAATCATCCGCATCATTGAATCCAAATCTGCATAAGTGTTTTGATCTATGGGTATGCCGTCGTGATTATTTGTCAAAGCACAATAAACGAAATTGAAGTTTGCTGTCCTAGCTACCCTTAACCCCTAAAACCCTATAATAACACATATATCTATCAAACTTTTTCATGAACTGAAATGATGTAAGTGTTATTGAGCCAAAGTGTCGACTTGATTTTGAAAATCCAATATGTTAACGTTTTATTTCTTCGTTTTCGTCGTTTAAAAGACAACTCTTAGTGTCCATTTATAGAAAAAACACAGCCTTGTCTGAGGAAGCCGCATAAATAACCCACACTTGATTTCATATATATGGCACGTGGGCGTACGTATAACCCAAACTCAAGGCACTTATGTATAGACGCCTTGGCGGCCAACCTCCTTTTACGGGACATTGCTGTGCTTCATCAAGACCTGAAATTAGTCAAATGCTAAGACACTCATTCCAACATGCACGTGCCATGGACGGTAGCTTCTCTAAAGCCGATCATGCACGTTTTTTTTATTAATTTTGGGCATGATAGGTATAAACAACAAGTATGAAGGTGACCTTTGAGGGCAATAAAAAGTACACGAAGTCACTAAAACTCAATTCTATTGGACATTGTTGCAGGACCACCATGAGGATATGATTTACTTCACATGCACCAAATCAGATATTGTCAAATGAATGCTACCTAAGCTCTTTGTCTCTTGCTTTTACTTTGCAGTAATATATAATATCTTTCATTTTAAATTAAACGTCTGTGTGTTTAATTTAATTACCATGAAAATTTTTTTAAAAAAGTTTTAATTTTAATTTTTTATATTAATATTTTATAATATTAACTTCTTTTTTTTTTATTTTGCTCAACCTATCAAGTATTAATATTAATAATCATGATAGATACAGAGTTAGGATCAACTCTTAATTGAAGATTAGATCAACATACAAAAGGAAATGAGCGCCCAATGGTACTTAGTACCATTGGACAATGAACTCGCCTAATGGTACTCAGTACCATGCAGGACGAAACTAGTCAATTTTTATTGAGGAGATCAAAGACAAAAAAAAATAAAAACTAAAAATTTTTAAAATTAATGTGTTGAATTTAACCAAGGATAAAAAGATTTATAATAAATAATAATTTTATATAACATCTAATTAAAAAGTTTTAAAAAAACTTATAATAGTTATTTAAGAAAAATTGTGCACGTTGATGTTTCTTAAATTCAAATTCATCATTCAATATTATTATTTATTTATATTTAATTTAAAAAAAACATAAAACTATAAAAAATAAAATATAAATAATTAAATACGAAATACAGGATTTCACATAATAATTAAATAATATAAATAGAAAGAAGAAGGTAAAAGAAAACTTTACCTCATCTTAATTTCACACAATGGTGGTGAGTGATTTCTATCTTTCTTTTCCAAACTCACAAGTTCATAAATCTTTTTTGAAGAATAAAGTGTGTTTCTATGGTGAGTTACTAGAAAAGAGAAATAAAAATAAAAAGACCGAAAAGAGAAGAGAAAAAGAAAAAGAAAAAGAGAAAGAGGCGTAGAGAAACTTAAATTAGGGTAAAATTAAGTAGATTTATGAAGTTATTTTATTTTTTTTATTTATATTAATTATTAAATAAAAAATTTATTTTGAGTCGGCCATTAATAATATATAATAAATAAAAATTCTCAAAAAATTTGAGGGGTCATTCATAAAATATATATAAGAAATAAATATTTTTAAAAATTTTGGGAGGGAGGGGGGCAATGTGTTGGCTTACCCTCAGCCCCTGGTACCATGATACATAAAAACAGCTTAATAATTATAGAATTCATCCACATAAGCTCATCCTTAAAATGCTATCAACAGCTCAGAAGAATGTATATGAGACCGTAGCGTAGAAGAGCAACAAAGGCAACAAGAAGCAGCACAGTACAGCTAGATGGGCAGCAATAATTCATCGACAACAACATTAGCAGTAATTAAGGATCAACGTGAAGTAGCAACTAAATAGAATATCGAAAGCAAAGATTACCATCAGGTTGTGAAGATGGAGCTCTTGTCCACGCCAAACTTGGCCAAAGAGTCTACAAAGGAGTTACCCTCCCTCTATATGTATGTGAAAGAAACCATGCCAATGGAAGTGAGCAACACATCTATCTCGTTAAACACATTCCATTTGTCCTAGGGTCGTTTATCGATATTAGACACCCATGCTAAGGCAACCTTAGAGTTCGATTCAATGGTTTGTTTCGAGCTTGTAAAAGGAAAATGAGCATATAGACGCAATGCATGTAAAATTGCCAAAAGTTCAACATGGTTAGAATCAACAATGTCAAGTGGATCAAAAAAGATTCCAATAACTAATCTCGCATAGTTACGTAATACCTCACCATACAGATACAAAACTAGTCAACTTTTGTTAGAGAGGCTAAAGATGAAGAGGAACAAGGCTTAAAAATTATTCAAATTAATATGTTGAACTTAATCAATAATCAAAAGATTCATAATAGACAATAATTTTATCTAACATGTAAATTAAAAAGGATAAAAAAAAGACTTATAATAATTCTTTAGAAAGTTGTGGTCAATGATATTTCTTACTCTTGTTTGTAAGTTGGAGCATTGAGGCTTGCTAGTTCAAGTGTAGAAGAATCATTTGAATAATTTGTAAATTTTCTTTTAAAGAATTTATCAATTAAACTACCCTAACCAACCAACCTTAGTTTGCCCTTTGAGGAGCCATCAACGTTGAACTTGAACTCTCCCTTCGGTGGAGATGTTCATGGGACAGCAAAGTGAGTATGAAGAGGAGAATACTTGGTGGATGCCCCACAAGGCTCTATTGACCATCCAACATCATCCATCGAGTCTTTTCCTTCACAAGCTTGGATCTAAAACATAGTGTACGTTCTAAAGAGGAACAAGATCTTCATACCATCCCATACCTTACTGTTGAAAACTGTATCATTACGAGCCAACCATAATGACTATATTGTAGCCCTATAAACCATCATCCATTGTTTGCACTAATATCGGAGAAAACACAATCAGCCCATGTTTGCATAAAATAAGAGATAGTGCCAGGGATGATCCACGATATCTTTCACTAGCCAAGAACAAGCCGCCACACATACTATCTAAAAGGACATGATAAAAGGGTAAGAGTACAAGTTTCCATTACAAGCCACACTAAACACACCTTAACTAATTAGCACTAGAGTGAACGCCACGTGATTGTAGAAAGTGTTTAGTGGGAATAGAGTCAAGAGATGCCAACCATAGAAAACTTTGCACTTTTGGAGAATGGTGGAGAACCATACCTACCGATCATTAGGACTAGTATCCAAGATGGTGCAAAAAGATTTGATTGGAATGATGTTTCCAAATAAGTTTATTTGATCTACTACGAACCAACATAATGTTACCTAATATGGAAAAAAGTTCGTTAAGAGAATCATTCTCCTATTAATAAAGATTCTGTTGAAAAGAAATAATCCAAACACAGTTACTTCAGACATCAAGAACTCGTGCCTCCTTATCGACCACCAAGGAGAATAATCTATGATATTTAATGCTTAATGGCTTACTGTCTAGTACACACGTGTCAAGCTGGAAGCAAATCAAAGCACCATTTCCCATGATCCATCTATAACCATGTTGGCCTACAAGATTCTATAAGCTTTTGGAGGAAAGGAGGTTAGTAATGCTCCTCTATACAAAAGACATCCTATCGGGATGTGTGACTAATAGGATCCAATGTAGCTGACCAACACCATATTTCTCTACAATCAAGCATTGCCATTATGAACTATCCTTTATGCCATCTTTCCACCACCGTTTAGTTATAGAACAAGGTTTTTATAGCTTAGGCTAGAAATTCCTAGCCCACCAAGTCTTTTCGGCTTACAGACAACACTCCATTTTACCTTGGCAATTTTTCGCTTATTCGTTGATCTGCCCCATAAGAAAGCACACCTCAATTGCTCAAGTTTGTTGATAACCTCTTTCGGTGCCTAAAAGATAGAAAGGTAGCATAGGGGCAATGAGTTAAGCGTTGAATTACTGAGAGCTAACTTGTCTCAAAATGATAAATATTTTCTCTAGCAAAATGTAAGACGTTGCTTAAATTTATTGACAATAAGGTCCCTAATAGTTGCATTCTTGGGTTAGCACTAAAAAGGATATCAAGGTAGGAGAAATGAAGTGTTCCAACATCACATTGAAGTATAGATGCCATGTCCCGTCCAATAGAAGTCTCAATTCCCATTGGGTAGACATAAGATTTATTGAAATTAATTCTTAGACCCAAAACAAGTTCAAAGCAATGCAATATCCTACGAACAACAACAACACCATTAGCCTTAGGCTCTAGGAATTGTAGATAAGAGATAGTCAAGCCGGATGTAGTGAGTTTGTTGCTTCTGAATAAATTGAGGGATTCCACCCGAGTGATGAGAAGATGAAGTGTTTTAACTTCCATAATAAAGAGAAAAGGTGATAATGGGTCACCTTGTCATAGATCACGCATCATAGGAAATTCTAGTGTGACCAATATATAGACCGACACTATGGAAATGCACATCATTGAATAAGTTAATCATACACATCATTTAATCCAATATCTATAGGTATTTCGATCTAACAGGTAGACCATCGTGATTGTGTGCTAAAGCACAACAAAAAAAATGCAAGTTTCCTTTCCTAGACATGATTGACTTTAATTTTGTTTTAGTATAGTAAGATCCCTAGCTACGTTTAACCCTTGAAACCCCCTAACTAACACACACACACACACACACACACACACCAAACTTTGTCATGGGCGGGCGGTGTAAGTGCTACTGAGCCAATGCCTTGACTTTATTGACCTAGTTGCCGTGATCAGATGTATGAACCATCGGATGCATGCAGTTAATTTTACCTGTCTTAATCCTTGAAAGATCAATATGTTAATGTTCTTTCTCTTCGCTTTCATTGTTCCAAGAATACAGATATTAACGTTAATTTATAGAAAAGTTACAAAGTTGTCTAAGGTAGTTAATTGGGTAAAGTACCTCTATTTCCTTAAGTTTTGATCATAATTCCATTTGTGTCCTTTGGTATTGAAAATGTATAATTTTGCTTCAAAAATTTATATATCATTGGACACATAAGTCCCACTGTTAGATAATCATTAAAGTTTCTGTTTTTTGATGATGTGGTATAAATTTATACCCATTTTACTCTTTTATTTTCTCATTTTACTGTTCATCTTCTCCAATTACCCTTGAATAACAAAATCAAATCTAGAAAATGGACCTTTTTTAACAATAAAATCAAAGATTCACAATAATTTTGTTTGAAAGTTTAATATTCATTGAAAATAGGGAGAGAATCCTTAAATTTACAAATAGAAGATTTAATGCCTTCATTAGACATGGCATAAAGGCTTCAAAACTTCAGTAAATTTAATTTGTTATCACTATTTACAATTGTAAAAACCCTTTAAACCGATGAAACTAGAACACTTAGTCATCGACCATAAAAAAAAGCCCCAAGAGAAAAAGGCCATATTCCTCCCAAGTTGCAACACTTTCCTTTGCACCAAGAAACTGCATGAAGAGCCTGAAAAAGCATCATAAGGGAATTTGGCACCAGAAACAATAACACTCGCAAAGGTAGGAAGGCAGCTTGTATATCTCTCAATACAACTCAACAAAACAGCACAAGCCAACATATAAGCCGACACCTTAACCCAACATTTGGACTTGAACAATAACAAGCTAGAACCACCAAAAAAAAAAATAGCATCCAAGCACTAGTAGCTAGCAAGCTAATAGAATTATTAACTCCTCTGTTTCATCCTACATATCAGCAACAAAACAATAAAAACCAGTAGCAAAGTAACCCCAATGCTTTATCGTAAGTAGTATTTCAGCCATATACTGCCCCTAGATTGACACAAAGCCATAAAACGCAAAATAAAAACAATTAAAGGCAATAACTGAAATGTTATATATATAATTTTAGGAAGAAGCATTCATCGAGAACAAAAGCAAGGAATGTTATGAAAATCAAATCTAGGTAAATAAAAGTGAGATCTTAAGGATAAAATGGAAAATCAGATCTGGGTAAAAATAAAATAAGGAAGATAGTTACTCATGATAGAGTAAACAATATGGTAATTATTCTTGAAGGAATTGAAAGCAGGGGATGTTTTGATTCCATCCTTGCTCGTTTTGCTTAAACATTGAGGAACCAACTTGAATATGATCACAAACCCATGACCCATAATACTTGTACTAGAGCAACAGTGAAATTAGAAACAAAAAATAAGGGTATACATGAAGTTTGAGAGAGAGAGAGAGAGAGAGAGAGAGAGAGAGAGTTAAGTGACATGAAAGTGGAGAGAAATGGGAAGACAAGGGAGATGATCAAGAGTCAATGATCTTTTTCCCATATAGAGTGAAGATTGAGATGGGATCATCAGAGTAAGGGGAAGAATAAAGATATGGGTATTTCAATCATTTTAACGATGTTAAAAGTTTTGGGATGAATTGTCCATTTCTAATACAAATAGACTCAGATTGAATTATGGTCAAAATTTAAGAAATTAGGTGTATTGTACCCTAATTAATTTGTTTCGAGGAAAAGGCATATGCGACATATGCCATGCTCAATTGATTTGATTAATATGGCATATTGGGGGTAGGTATAACCCAAACACTTATTCCAACATGCATGTGCCCTGGCCCCTAGCTTTTCCAAAGCCAATCATGCACGTTTATTTTTTATTTTTTATTAATTTTGGGACGATAGGTATAAATAAAAAGTATGAAAGGTCAATAAAAAGTACACAAAGTTACTAGAATTCAATTTTGTCGGACATTGTTACAGGACCACCATGATAGCATCGTTTACAAGTGAATAGTTCCTATGCTCTTTCTTTCTTGCATTTACTTTGTAATAATATACAATTTTTTCATTTTAAATGAAATGTTCGTGTTTAATTCAATTACCATGAGAAATTTTTTATAAAATTTTTAGTTTCAGTTTTCTTTATATTAACATTTTATAATATTAACTTTCTAGCTTTTGTTAAAACCAAAATGTAAATATAATGAATAAAAACAACTAACATATCAAATATAAGAGTTAAAAATATTTGCAAAGGAAAGATGCCATAATTATCGAAACATTCAAAAGAAGTAAGATAAACATGTAATATGAGATGAAAAGGGTAATATTAATTAAATTAATAAAATATATGTTAACTTGATTTAAATTATATTCAACATAAATGATGCAATTTTTTTTTTTAAAGTTTTACAAACCTTTAGTTACCTTTTGAGCTAGCAAATATGTAGTGTCTTTGCGTGTCTCTCTCGCTTTCTTAATAAGACTTAGGAAAGCAGATGGTCGATGCTAAATTTTGGAGTAAATTGGTAAGAGGAAAACTGCCCTAAATTTGGTTTCATGAACCGACCAATCTATCTAAAGTAACTTTCTCTCAACTTGTGTTGGATTAAACAATATTATAAATCATGGGATTAGGATGCTAAAGCTTTTTAGGCAACTAAATCCATTCCTCTCTTTGAGATAATATCTTCAATTATTAGGTCCAATAAACAATACATATATTAACTAGTGTGATAGTCTTGAATTTTAGCTTGATTAGGATATATTATTTCTAGTTAGATTTGTTGAGATAGTCTTTACTTTTAGCTAAATTAAAATAATTAAATCCTAATCAAATTAGGATAAATCTCTTGTAATTAGTCTTAAAAAAGCATCATACGGGCTTAAAGAATATCATTAAGTCAAAAGTGAGTTCAATGAAAGCATATTTAAAGAGAATGATTTTAGTGTTAGTGGGATACAAGTTGTGTTTTTGTAATTTTTTTATTTTTCTTGATACATCTTTCTCTGTCGTTTTGCACATGAAAGACTGAATCAACTAAAGCTAGTGGAAGACTAAATCAAGTAAAGTTCTTGTAAGTGTATTTGGTTTTTTTTTTATTGATTGTGTAAGATCTTATGTGACTAAGTTGATATTATTATGATATTTTCACATTATTAACTTTATTAAAGCATTAATATACATACAAAAAATAGTTAATGGAATAGATTGAGCTTTCCAATCTACTAGATTAGAGTCGACTTGGAGATTAAAAATTGTTACGGAGACTTTAACATTAATTAATAGAGATATGTTTATTGTAGTTTTCTTTTTCAAAAACAAAAAATCAGATAATGAATTTTTGTTTAATGAATGGACCACAATGATTGAGCCAAAAGTTGTATCCTTCGACCTGTCTCCATTCAAGAGATAGTTACGAGATTGAATGAATCTTGAATTCGTTGACATGGATTACTATTTTACATTGAATTAATATAGAAAAATTATGTGACTATTTTTTTAAA